GCTGCCTGCCTCAATACTTGCTGGATCATATCAACAATGCCAAAATTTATTATAATGACAGGGAGGATGGATGTATTTGGAAACCTAACAAAAATGGCGTTTTCAGTTTTTCTAGTGCCTATGATGTGATTAGGCCTAAATTAGTTTCTAATTCTTCCTACAAGTTCCGTTGGAATAAGAGAACTCCAAAAAAAATCTCTTTTTATATGTGGAAACTTGAAAATAAGTTACTCCCATTCCCTGACAAACTCAACCAATTTGGTATTTGTGGCCCTTTCAAGTGTCCTATGTGCCCTGGTGAGGATTCTATTGATCATTTCTTTATGTCTTGTACCCTTAGCAAAATGGTTTGGAGGCATTTTGAAACTCTTTTCAACTTTCACCCAAAAAATACCGATTGTCTTAATATTTACATAGCTGAGTGGTATAATGATTATAAGAGCAGTCTCTCGGATATTAATTACATTTTGCCTAATAATGTGATTTGGAACTTGTGGAAGATTAGAAATAAGCTGATCTATGATGATAAAAAGACCTTATTCCCTGAGGCTTTGCATACTATTAAAACTGAAATTTACGCCATAACTTGTGCTCACCCTCTTACCTCTCCTCACCCTCAAACCCCTTTTCCTATCTATACTCACAGGCCAAAAAAAACCATCCCTAGTGTAGCCCTCAAGTCTTGGAAGAAACCACCATCCTTCTACCATAAAATCAACATTGCAACTCGTGCTCTTACTCCCAGCCTTACCAGAACTGCTGCTCTTATTCGAGATGATTCAGGCAACTATAAGGGCCATATGACTTTTACTTTGCCCAATAATAATTTTACTATGGCATCATATGATGCAATTGTTGATACTCTTTTGATTATCCCACATATAACTAACATTGTCATTGAAGTTGATAACAGGGACATATATGAAGGGATAACCGGATTGAGCATTCAGCACTGGAAGGCCTGGCCTCGTATCCAAGCGGTGAAACGCAGACTCAAGGGCAAAAATTGGTCTATTACTCATATTCATCCTAAAATCAATATGGCTGCAGAGTATTTAGCTTATAGAAACACTTCTATTAAAACCTCTAGTCATCATTTTAATCATTTTGTTGGAATCCTTAAGTTTGATGCCATTAGCTATCCTTATGTACTTTAATCATTTGAGTAGGCTTTGGTTTGGTCCTCCTACTCTTGTATTATTATCTCCACTACAATAAAATGGTTTGGTATTTAAAAAAAAAAAAAAAAAAAAAGAGAGAGAAGGTCACAAATAAGGAAAGAGGGTAACAATTGCTTCTGGGCAAAGTTCTAGTATGAGAGGCTTCTCAATTTTTGTTATATATGTGGGGTGCTAAGACATGCTATCAATTTTTCCCCATCAAACTCCTACTTGAGACCTTGGATTAGCGAGAAGCCATATGGTCCTTGGATGTGAGTTGATATGCGTTGTGGAGGGGAACATCCTAAAACAAATGATTCGTTTGGAGTGGGAAAGAGGACTCATGATTCACAATGAAGAGGATGATAGTTGGAAGCAATTGATTGAGAAACCAACAACAGAAGAAGAAACAAGGATTGACTTCAAGAGGGAAGGAGATACCGAGTGAATTGGAGGAGCAAAATTAGGAGAGAGCTTTGGAGGAAAGAGAATTTAAGGAGAGGAGGGCGTTGGTTTTAAATGAAATGGTGGAGGTTCAGGCAAACTTGGAGATAGAAGACGATAACCCAAAAAATGAGAAGGAGGTGGTGTTCTCAAATCACCATCACTTAAAGTTCTGATAGGGCAATAGGCAAATTGTATCTCCTTAGATGTGGTCGATCAAACGTTTTCTCGCTTTCCAGTGGCCGGTAAAATTGGGATACTTGAGTTATTTTATTTCTTTTTTTATGCTGACATTATTTTTCTTTTAATTATCATTTAAGTAGCAAATTCAACAGTAGTATAAATTTAGACCACAATTTTGAAGGATTAGTGAATTTGTTTGGTTTTTTAGGGGTCAATCAATTCTTAGTGTCACTCGAGTATAGTTTTGGGCTTTTGTATTGCTTTAGTGCTTGTTACTTTTATGATTAATAAATAAGTTTTCCTTTTGCAAGAAAAAAGAAAAAGATAAAAACATCCACATGGATGCTTTTGGAGAGACATAACACCGATTAAAGACGGTCATTAGAGGAAAACTTTTGAATTATGTTCGATGTTGATTTGAAATCAAGATCTTTCACAAGAAAAAGCTTTAATTTTGAGTGTGATCCACTTGGATCACTCCCACTCTCTTGTTGGGGTTTTCATGTGTAACAAGATAGTACTTTTCAAAAATATTTTCTCTATTTATCAGAAAAATGACATATATATCACCTATTTACCCCCATATTTTGGGAAGACACAAATGTATTGCATTTTTTCTAAAAAATGTGACTCACGCTTAAAGGTGTAAACGAAAATAAATTTCTACACCCTCTAACCTCAATCCAACACACGGCCAACTGAAATTTCAAACATTTTTTTTTAAATTTTGTTGAAAAAGCCCCAGAAAAAGTCGTTTGACAGCGGACGTGACTTTGATAGTATGATATACTAAATTTTAGTGACATAAAAGTTGTTTGCGATATAATAAATTGACAACGACAGACATAGTTTTCAACATTTTTCCTCATGAGTCAATTTATTATATAGAAGTAACATTTTTCCTCATGAGTCAATTTATTATATAGTTTCTATGCCATTGAAGCGGTAGACTCTCTTCTTGGTGGCTAGTGAAGTTGGACATGGTGGGTGATTCATGTTAGTTATTGCTCAAATAGATTGTATGTGGTGATAGTGTTATCTATCACTTTCCTCTACGAGTGGTCAAGAATGTCAATGTGGTTCCTATATATCATGCCTATAATCTTTAGAAGTAATAGAGCCTTCAAAAGCATCATACTGACAATGCAGATTGTTTCATGGGGTGGAACATCTTCCAAGACAACTTAACATATAAAAGTAAACGTTATACAATAATAGACCCCCTATTCATTCTCACTGTAATTTTGTCAAGTTTGAACCACATATTAAACATGGAATAATAATAAAGCAAAACTTTGTGGTTAAGTTTATGCAAATGAGGTAGAAATGTTAAAAACTGCAAATTAATTCAGATGTAATGTTATAGTGTTTGGAATAAATAAAAACCAAAAAGTGTTGGGGAGTAGTGCAATATATACCTCAGGGCCTCTGAATTTCCTTAAGAACTCCAGGAGCTGACCGTTGAGATAAACTGAAGCTGAACTCTTTTGTCTTTTTACCATGTGGTGAGCTCTAAAGACAAATCCAAGGGGATCGGACATCTCACCGGTTAAAATGAGCTTGGGAATTGCGAACGCTAAGAAAGTGAACCTATTCCCCCATGACATTTCCGTGTTTGGTTTGATCATCTCATCTACCGACGTGTACCCTTTGGTTGCTCTTGTGTTAAACAATACTAGTGAAGTGCATTTCCCATTGTATGTTTCTTTATCTGTTTCTTGCATGTATAATCTTATTCCATATGTCACTATTCCTGTCATCACATCGTTGATTGTCTGGGGGAATTTGCATTACCCAATACATTATTAGGTTGCATTGTAATAAACTAATAATAATCATATAAATAATACCAATACTCCATATCCCAAAAATACATTCTCCGATGAAGTATTTTTGTTTGATTAAACAATTTTTGTAGGTTACTAAAAAATGACAAACACGCTACATAAGTTTTTTTTAGGTAAACTAACTAATATTTATAGAGATAATTACCCTGAGTATGACTAAAACTTCTTAAGTTTCTCAATCTATGACCTAACAAGTTTTTTTTATCAAAATAATATTAAAATTCATAATATTTAATTAAAATTCGTAATAAATAAATGAATAAAAAAATTAGGTGGACAAATATACCCTTTAAGATGTATCTATAAAACCCTAAGCTCCTACTATTTTCTCCAACCCTAGCCTTCGTTCTCCCACGCTCATAGATTCACCCGTAGCCGCACACCCCCGCCGCCGCCCCATGGCCCGCCGACCGCCCTGCCCCACCGCCCACCGCACAGCCGCTGCCCCGCCGCACAGCCGCTTATCGCCGCCTCAGGTCATTCTCTGTAACCTCCGTGTCTTTCTCAGTTACGTTCTCTGTGAAGATGGAGAAGGTGAGATGGAGTAAAGGCCATCATTGAGCAAGTCCCCACCCAGAGTTCTGATGGCGAGGAAGCAACGGAGGAGGTCAGATAGAGTTTTGGTGGAGGAATCTTGGTGGTCGATTGTGTGGCTGTCGGCGGGCGCCTCTGTGCACACAAATAATATGCGGATGAGGTTGATTGTTTCTCTGGGATTTGGAACACGTCTAATAATTTGCGAGAAATACTTTGACTTCTAGTAGCATTGTGTGCAATAATTATGGAGTGCAGTGCATTTTTTTGGCATACGGGATGCAGTGCATTTTTTTGGCATACTGAGTGCATTGCATTGAACAATTGAGACCTGATTTTGTTCTTCTCTTTTTGTATTTTTAAAATTAGAGTTTTTGGACATTGAATATGGGCAGTGAACATTGCAATAGATAGTGTTGTATATGAGCATTAAATGAATGCATTGACGGGAAATGCAATAATTATGACCAGCAATGCATTGACACAAAGTAGTAATGCCACCATGAAATAATAAAATAATAAAATAATTAAATCTGAAAAAATCCTCATTATGAATGAGAAGAAAATTAATTTCGACGGAAGTGCAGTGATTATTAACGGATGTGCATTAAAGTCGTGCATTAATGTAGTGCATTAACGATAATATAAAGTGCAGTAAAATTAGTGCAAAATGCACATATTTTAAATAAGGGTATTTTCGTCATTCAATCTTTAAAAATAAACGAGATTTCTTTATTTTTTTTTGGATTTTTAGTCATACGAAAGTATAAAAACTAGTTAGATCATAGATTGAGAAACGCATCGAGTTTTAGTCATATCCTAGGAAATTTCCCATATTTATATGCCTCCACGAGATTTGCACTAGATTTGGTGTGTAAAAGAATGAAATAAAGTCACTAGCATGTAGGTGTAAAGGTAATGATCTATACAATTCCCTCCATGAGATTATTATAGTTAAATTTTCATTGTATACACTTTTTTTACACATGGTTGTGTATGCCACCCATGCTTACTATCTTCACTATCTTCTATATCCATCATCATCATCATCATCATCTTTACCCTTATCACCTTCTAGGTTCAGAAAAAGAAGAAGTTTGAGAGTCACCAGAAAGTCACTGAAAAATTCGAGATGAACATTCATCATTATATTTGTTTGTGTGGTATATAAAATATTGTGTGTGTCGTGATGAATAATGATATAAATTGTCTGTAGGGGAAATGAAACAGAATAACTAGTAACGTTTTGTAGAATTTCTTTACCTATAAAAATATCTATATACAGCCCCGGGTTTTAAGCACAAATAAAAAAAAATGTATATGTGCCTAGACAAAATTGTTAAGCACAGACAAAAATGTACAAAATGTTTGTAAAAATAAGCATTGGTTTCCGTGCAACCAAACTATGACGTTACTGCAAAAAAAAAACTTTCAAACCCATGTCCTATACAAACATTAGTTTTCTGTACACCGATCATTCATAGATTTTTGTTTGTGCTTAACAATTTTGGGGAAAAACATATATATAAGAACATATATTTCTTACTTGTGTGTATACAGACCACTAATTTCTATGCACATACATTAAATTCCGTGAAACATAACCCTGACTTCTCCCCAAATAAGAATGCAAATCTATGTGAATGTCATATGAACCCGTGTCTGTATACACCTACAATTTTGTGTGTGACACAACTCTATAAAAACGTACTAGTTTTTCAATTTCATCTTTTCTTACACACAATTTATAACTGTATTCAGCATGACACAAATAATCTTTTAGAGCTAACATTACATAATATGAAGATGGTAATAGTGATGAAAGATGGAACAAGATAATTAATTGGGATAATAATGAAGAATGAACAAAGAAGAAAGATGAAGAGTGAGTGGGGGCGAACAATATGAAAAGAAAGAAGATTGGAAAAGAGTGGGAAGAGGAAGGGGTAAAAATTAAAATGTAAAATGAAATGTAAAAATAAAAGATATTTAGAGTGCCTAAGGAGTGTGTTCAAGAAGTGGGTGCCAATAGTATTTTCATTCTAGACTTCCCAAGGATTGGTGAGTACATGTTTTCACATTTTTTACTTTTGCGTCTTTGCTCTTCTACTTTATTAACTTATATACATCATTACCAAGCACCACCAAAAGATTTACTACTTACATTTCACAAAATTTTGTCAAATTATATTTTTAGTTGTTCCAAAAAACTTTGTTATTTTTATGTTGAAAGTACTTTCTCTCTCTTCTGCATATATTTCAACTTTCAAGTACACGACTTTGACAAAATTACTCTGCGTGCAAGTCAAACTTGATGAAGGGTGTGTTTGGTACCCTATTTTCATCTTATCAGCCAACATTTCCAAATATGAAAATTTTGACTCCATATCTTGAATTGCGTAATAACCAAAATAAGTAAGGTTGTAGTCCATTTTTCTCTTGAATTGGTTGAAATTACTACTCCCTCCGTTCTCTAATAGATGGGAGTATAGGCTTTGACACAAGATTTAAGAAGAAATAAATAGGGGTAGAATAAAAGGTGTAGCGGGTTGTGTGTAAAGGAAAAAGGAGGAAAGAGAATGAAAAAGTAGGAAAGAGAATGAGGGAAAATGGGTATACTTATTGAAAAAACTTATCAAAAATGGAAAGAAAGACAAATAATAGTGAACATCCCAAAATGGAAAGAGGGACAAGTTTTAGAGAACGGATGGAGTATACGAAATCATTTTAGCTATTTCATATGATTTTTTCTCAAACATAAAAAACCCGAATTTTATTTAAAAAAATAAATACATATTATTTTTTCCACAATTAAGATGATTCAACCACTTGAGCGGCATTTCATCAATTTCAATGTGATCTTTTTTTTTTTACTCCAGGGGGGTCTGGGGGAGGGGGGCTGGGGGGAGCCTGGAGGAATTAGGGATGAAACTCACTCCATTGAGTTTCAAACCCTTGTGTGCCTAGCGGGATTCGAGACCTCCCACTAGGCACGGTAACCTCACAACGAGCTAGGCTGGAGTGATCAAACGGGCCTAAGTTTTATGGAATGGGGGAGCAAAAAGTAACATGATCAAAAGCATAGTAAAGCAAGACAGAGTATATTTCTATTTTTCAGCTTACCACGTTAAGACTAGATTTTATTTGCGCGAGGAGGTGCATCGAAAAGGACATAGTTGTCGGAGAGAAAGGACGGATTTCGGCTCCGTCATCTTGTGAATGAACCGCCGTCCGGTCATCATCAACCAAACTACTCTTTAGAACACTCCAAGAAAAATCCGAAACCGTGTTCGCAATCCCAGACAAGAATCTCGGTACAGCTTTGAAGACGCCGCCGATAAAGTTATCTCTTGCCGGTTTGCTCCTTTCCCGGCAAGGGAACGTCAGGGGAAGCTTTGAATTGTCAGTCCTTTGAAGGCAAGAAAGAAGGGCGCCCATCAAAGAATACCCATCTCCGAGTGAATGGTGAAGCTTAAAGATACAGTTTCCGGCAGCGTTGCTGGTAGGGTACCTGCAGGGGCGTAGCCAGGATGGAAGCTCAGAGTCGGGCAGTATAAGGAATTTTTTCAAATAATTTTTTTACACTAAAAATACAAATAATTTTTAAATTTTGGGGTGGCGGCCCCCTCTACCTCGGGCCGCGGTACCTGAATATGTGAATTTCCCAGGGTGGCCTGCTTTGTGGGAATGGCTCCATGGCTATATTTGTCAAATACTCCGTCAAGCACTCATCATAGTACTCCAATGGCTTCCCTATAGGATATGTGGGGAATTTTAGATGGTCTATAGCATTTACTACCACTGGTTTCCATTTCTTCTCGCCATTTTCCTCAGTTACCTGGTTTAGTTAAATGAAAGCTTAACAAAAATACAATGCAGCAATAAAAAATCTGAAGACCAAACAAAGTAAATTCCGGTCTGCAGGGACTTAATTTTAGTGGTCTCAATTGGTGGGATTTGGTTTGTCTAGTTGTTTTAATTTCATTTCACTCCAAGGAAACAACGATATTGGCACAAACTTGCACGCATTGATCGTGTTTGTCACAGATCATAACATACTTGTAACAAAATGACATCGGCACAGATTTTGGCACGAATTTGTGTCATGTCCGTGCCAAATACCCTATAAATTAATTTTGACTAATTTCTGCAAAAGATTCATGCCAAGACTGCCAAAATCTTTGTTTTTTGTAATGTTTATTTAATAGGTTTTATTTCCAGTAATATTTTTCAAATACTCGTCCTTATACTTTTAATATTTTAGAACATAAAGTTGATTAGTTCATCATATCACATTGAACTAAAGTAGATGAGACCGGCCGGGATGTACTAGATAAGATCATATCCAACTTGTTAAACTAGACTAGATTACACTGTATCATATTTGTTGATCAAAATAAATCTAAGAGCCTGTTTGGTGACCGCTGTTTTCGGTTTATCAGGCTTATCAGCCAGCTTTTTAACCAAACACGAAATTTTGATTTCGCGCGTTGAATCATGTAATAAACATAAAATGTAAGGTTGGAGTTACTTTTCTGGCTGAAGTTACGGTAGAGGATCATTTTAGCTATTTTCATATAGTTTTTTATTGTATTTATTAATAACAAATATTTTAAATATAATTTTTTCATGAATCAGCAGAATTAGCCAATACAGCCAGAACTTCATAAATTTCAGCAGAACAGCCAATTCTGCCAATTTTAGAGTTACCAAACGGGCTCTAAGACTAATCGATTAAACTATGCCACATATCATCAAACTGAATCTAAGAAGATAGGACCATGAAAGACATACAAAAGTTGATTACAATATAGGCGATGACATACTCCCTCCCTCAAATGAGTTAAGGTGTGTTTGAGAGTTGGGTTTCGGAGGGGAAGGTTTGTGGAGCTTTATGACCCTCCTTTTCATGTTTGAGAGTTTATAAAATTGGAGGGGATGGTTTTGGAGGGTTTTGGTGACCTTCCTAAACCCTTTAAATGCTCAATTTTTGAGTTCCCACCAATTTGGAGGGTTTTGAAAGATAATTAATGAAATAATAATTAAGCTCAATTAAAAGTAAATATCAGTTCAATTATTTGAATTCGTCATATCTCAAAGTGATGTTAATTATAATTCATTCAAAAACTCCTTTTTTTCAAATTCATTACTCTCAAATACAAACAAAGGCTTCATCACCCTCCCCTCCCTTTTCCCTCCAACAACATATTTTCAAAGCCTTCCCCTCTCCTTTCCTCCAAATTCCCAAACATACCCTTATTGTATGTGTTTTTACGACATCCCGAATAAAGTAATATTTCTTATTTGGTAAAACAAATATCAACAATTTATTCTAGAAGAATTTGACTTTACACCTCATGCTTTGAGCGATATTGAACTTTGCACCTCATTTTTAAAATGATTAATGTACGCACCCCATCAGCTCAAATATTGTAAAAGAGTGGGATGTAATATTAAATGATTCGAGGAAATATATAAGTTTTAATGTCAAATATCATCCAAAAAATGAGGTGCAAAGTCAAATTGTACTCGCTTTAGTCTACTATAATGTATTTATAATGATTTTACACACTACACAAAAACAATCTAATTCGCATAGATTGACCGAGTTCGGTAGAGGTCAAATCGTATTTTTGGCACAATTCTGTGCAAAATAACTTGTGACAAAATGACTTTGACATCGATTTTGTCACGGATTTGGTAGAGTCTCACGGATCCCTTTCCAAGTGCATAATAAACACAGTTTCATATACGTAGATCCCGATAATGATGTGTACCAACCCCATTGGACCATTATTGGTGTACACAAGATATACACAAAATCTGTACATTGCATGTGTACACAGACAATTAGGAGGATTTTGATATCAAATTCTGCCCTTTTTTAAATGAATTGCATGTGTACACAAGCAACTATAGAGGTTTTATTTATGGTGACAACTCCTGTATCCATTTAAAAAATGGGATACCGTACCTACCACTCACATGATTGTCCAAATCATTAAATCATTTTCAATTTAGATTTAAATAATTCAACTGCAAAATTCTGATTGGTCCAAGTGGACAAAGGAATTGTACATTTTGGATACCATAGAATCTACTTTTATTATATACTCCGTATTAGGATGTTTTCTTTTGGACTGAAATTTGCTGGTCTGGTCTGGTCTGTTTAAGTCTGGTCTGGTCTGGTCTGTTTAAGTCTGGTCTGGTCTGGTCTGAACTGGTCTGGTCTGGTCTGGTAAACGTCTGGTCTCTGTGTATTTTATAACTACGAAAGTCTGGTCTGGTCTGGTCTATTTAAGTCTGGTCTGGTCTGGTCTGTTTAAGTCTGGTCTGGTCTGGTCTGGGACTGAAAACAGTCCAAAAGAAAACATCCTTATAGTCAAAGTATGAAATAGTATTGAAACAGTCAACTTTAGAGTAATATTTACCCCTAGTAAAAAGGAGATGTGATTTCCGTTGGTAAAAAATCCTTAAAAGTCAAACGAACTAGGGATGAAGGAAGTACCTTAAAAGTCAAACGAACTGGGATGGAGGAAATACGATAGTACTTCGTACTACGTTTTATTTATGTACTACGTATTTTCTTATGCACATATGTGTTACCAAGTTTGTTGTCTTTGTTTATTGCATATTTTATTTTTAACAACACCAATAGTGGTTCGTATACAGTGACAAAGTTTCTGTTGTAAATATTGATTATTGTTATATGATACTCCGTAATAAGGAGTAATATGAAATTAAGAAATATAAAAGTAATTAATTATCTTGAGAACAATAGTGTTGGTAATAATAGTACTCCATATCAATTAAAAGCGATATAATTATTGAAAAATAAAACTATTTTTATTTATAATTAAAATAATAATCATAGTGATACAGCTATAAATATTTATGAATAGTAGAAATAATATAAATATGGCAACGTAACAAAAAAAAATAGCTGTAACAACCACAAAATGATGTTTCTCAATTCATATCAACTTTTGGAATCAAATTTTGATGTTATTTAGATAACAATAATATATATAACCATAACATGCTAGGATAATATATTATAAATATATACTCACATAATTTGTTGTAGTCTACACTAACGGAATTGTAATAATTATCTCGATCGTAGAAAGTTAAGATCACATAAAATTGTAAAGAAAAGGGGGTTAAAGAAAAGGTCAAATATTGATATGGAAAACTGTGAATATGAATGTTGAACTTCATTTTAAGAGTATATGGTACATTGGTAAGCAGATCGACAGATAACTGATCGAATTACCATGATTGAAGAAAACCTTCGATTGATGGGTAAGAAGACATCCTTAATTGTGGAAACCAATTCTGTTTCATCGATTTCGAAAGCAACTTTTGTTTCCAAAACAGCAATAATGGAGAGGGACAGCGCTTTGCTGTTCATGTATTGTGCACTGGGGCTTGCAGGTTCCACACCTTCTTCTCCATCTAAGTATTCCATCGCAAATAAGCTTTTGTGGTTATTCTTTTTATATTCCTCTACTTTGCATCTATGCTATTCATTTATAGGCATGTCCGCGCATTAATTGACGGCCTCGAGTTGATAGTGTTGTTTAACTATATTGGACTATCGGAGTACTTTATAGACGTGTTTGAAACTAATTATGTTTCTGTTTTTTCTTTTAAAATTTTCTTTTAAAAATAGAACTAGAATCATAATCAGTTTTTTGAAACTGGTTTCTGCAACTTTATAAAAAATTGCTTCGAAGAGCAATCTGAAACTCAATGGAGTGAATTTCAGCCCTGATTACTCCAGGCCCCCAAGCCCCCCTCCCCCAAACCCCCGAAGTAAAAAATTAAAAATGTTGATCTCTACACTTAATGGCTTATCTATCCTTTCGAGTGTTGACATTTGATGGAGGTAGGGCAACCTAGCTGTTGCCCCTCCCCATCATCATCATCATCCAATTACCGATCCAATATAATTGATTGCACATGCGCAACTACAGCGTTTTGTGCAATGAGTTGGAGAGACAGTGGGATGACGATATGGTTTGCTTCTCCATTGTCTGCTTCTCTATGGTTTATGCTTCTGGACGTGCTGATATGGATCGAATTTGGAGGTTTATGATTGATACCTTTGAATGGAAAATTGTCTGGTCAATTCCGCTTGACTTGATCGTTGGAGGGGGCGTTTAGGACTGTGTTGGGCAGAGGGGACAAATGGATGGGGCGACTGGATTGGGTCTTGTTTGAATGGATTTCACCTCAGGGTGGAGGAGATTAGGGGTGCTCGAGTGCGACAATTTCTGGATCGAGTCCTGAGCAAGGGAGAAGATAGATTGGCGGTCCGCCTCCTCCTGAACTGCCGCCTTGGAGCAATCGAGGTGTTAGAGTTTGGAAGATGATACTTCAAGAAAAAACTGGCAGGAAGAAGCTTGAAGTAATTTTTTTTGTTTTTTATGGTCTTACTTTCATGTTATGTGTGTTTATGTTGCTCTGGTTTTTGTTGATGTCATTAATTTTTTTATCTACAATAGTAATTGACAATTCTGCTAGATATTATATCGTTAGAATGATCTATGTGACTTGTGATTATTGTCATACCTGTTTGATGATTAGCGATTTGTATTGATCTTTCAGAGGTGATTGTTTCTAAATCTAGTTGTATGGTTACGTTGATAGTGCCAGTTGGTAACAGATAGTTAGTTGTCACTGTTGGTCTCTTTGATTTTGTTGTAACAATCTGAATTCAAATGATATCATTATAAGCTGTTTTTTATTTGAAAAGAAAATTAATCTCTACCCATAATAATTGTATGTGCTTAAAATTAATACAAAAATACTCCACTTTAATAATAGTACTCCCGGACCCATTTTCAATATTCTCGGACTAAATACAGTCATATATTCACTACTTCGTACGGAGTACATTATTAAGAATATATGTCATTATGACAATATAGTTTGTGGATTCACTATATATGTCTCTCGGCCCCAGTTTTCAATCTTTTTAATCAATTGTTGAACATGCACTTCATTAGAAATCTCATGGGTTGCTTGCTCTCTTTTGGTTGGTTTCAGTATAATGCTTTAATTTGTGCCACCTTATTTAATACGGAGTAACATACGTGACGAAGCCATCAATATGTCGCCAGCCTAGGTATGTTGGTACGGAAATATACCATTTACATTATTAATATGTATATTGAAATGTAATAGTTTGTCTGTACATATTGGGAAAAGGTGCAAATAGGCCCATGTACTAACCAAAAAAGGTCAAATAAGCCTTTATTTAGGAGGCTTTGTCCGGACGTCGCCATTTGGGGTGGTTCCCGGTGAAATTTTTTGATGAAATTTTTTGAGCATCTTATTCGTCAAGTCTAGTTTACTCATACCAAATTTCGGCTAAAACTTCAATCGGGAAGGCATTCAAATGAATTCTTGAAGATAAATGCGCTTCTAACTGCGCAGTTATTTTCAAGAATTTATTTGAATGCCTTCCCGATTGAAGTTTTAGCTGCAATTTGGTATGAGTAAACTAGACTTGATAAACAAGATACTCAAAAAAATCATCAAAAAATTCCACCGGGAACTACCCCAAATGACGACGGCCGGACAGAGCCTCCTAAATAAGGGCTTATTTGACCTTTTTTGGTTAGTACATGGGCCTATTTTAACTTAAAGTGTTCAATTAGCCCCTTATATAAGAGGTTCAGCCCGGCCATCGCCAATTGGGGACGTTCCCGGTTGAATATTTTGATGAAATTTTTTGAGCATCTTCTTCATTAAGTGTAGTTTATCCATATCAAATTTCAGCTAAAAATAAAATCGGGAAGGCAGTCAAATGATTTTCTAAAATGTACTGCGCTGTTTAATTGCGCAGTTATCTTCAAAAACTCATTTGACTGCCTTTCCGGTTGAATTTTTAGCTGAAATTTGGTATGGGTAAACTAGACTTAATGAAGAAGATGTTCAAAAAATTTCATCAAAAAATTCCACCGGGGACCGCCTCAATTGGCGACGGCCGGGCAGAACCTCTTATATAAGGGACTAATTGAACACTTTAAGTTAGTTCATGTACCTATTTGACTCTTTAGCCTTATGATAATGATTATGTGTATTGTGCCAACTTACAATAATTGTAATATTTGAAACATATTTGTTGATCATACATTTTATCGGAAGATTAGAAGCTTACTATTTATGGACTAATGCATAAGTACTTTATTGAGTTTATTCCATGTTAATATAATCAATCAGAAGTTTATTGATGTAATTTTTAAAACCAAATACGAAGCATATAACTCCTAGGAAGCATATAATTCCAAGGTAGGTGTTTATTACAAAAACAATGTCATTTTTGGACACATAATGATGTAAAAAACTACTAAAGAGTAACGACGATTAAATAACGATGAGTGAATTTTGGTTGTTAATAAGTAACGACAAGTATTGTGTCGTCGTTAATTACTAACGACGAACTTTTTCGTTAAAACCAATAACGACGGAGGCTATAACAACCACTTGCGACGAGAAAAAAATGGTCGTTAAAAGCTTTAACGACAAACTTTCATACCTGGCTAACTTGAGATACCCCATGTCCCCATATTACTTAAAGTGGACTTTCAGTTTGAAATAACAAAAAAAACCTCTCTAATTCCTATAAGATTTACGATGTTTGACTAGTCATAATGTTAACTTATTCATGTGAATAATAAGATTATTTAATAAATAAAATTTTTGTTTCTAGCAGAAACTACATTTAATGATTTATAAAATCACAAAAAAAAAAAAAATCAAGTTGAATATATGAAATGAAAAATTAGTGTAATTTAAGTTCATCGGAGAATTATATATGGACCAAAACTTTTATCCGGGATGGAGATAATAACGTTAGTTATGATCCATAACAATCTAAACACTAGGCCTAACAATCAACTCAAAGACCCTTACGTAGTCGGTAGTCATTTAATTTGTCCACCATATGTATACGGAGTACGAAGTATTTCATTAGAAGAGTATGTTTTTTTTTTTGGATGAAATGTAAATATATATTAACACCCAGAAAAATTATACATCAAATGTCCTAGATCTCCTAAAACCTTCCCCACCCCCACATAATGTAGGGGTGGAAGGAAGTTTTTATTCGATCTATTCTATGCCAAAATAACCAGGTATAAAACCCGGGCCATCAAGAAGTTCAAAAATACATCAGTGCTGCACATGCACGCACCCAGATCAGAGGCTAAATTCTAAAGAAAGTACAAGGGTGCCGCTAAATCAAACACCATAATATCAAAGACTATGCTTCATGTCGCGGCATCCATAATGTCCATGCCGCGTTGTATCAAGTTCCCAAGCCACGGCATCCATAATGTCCATGCATCGGCTCACCAAGCAAACATGTAGCTGTTTAACCAAAAACCGTGGCATCCATAATGTCCATGCATCGGCTCACCAAGAAATGTGAGGTTTGAAAATTGCAAGTAATAATTTGTTAAATACTACAAAAAACACGAGATTGATAGAGATTTCTTAAAAATCGAACTATTTGGCATTCAATTATCATCGATCAATTCGTACCAAATCCCTACGTGTCAACCTATAATTTTTGTAGTGAAATAAATATAAGGTGTATGTTTATCTCCTTATAAATGACCAATTATTTTGAGAAAGATATCATTGCTATTAATCATAAACTCTGTAGTGTAAGCTAGAAAGGGCAGTTATATGCTTCCAACATACCGTTCAAAGTATTTTTGCTTTTAAACAGTTTAGGACCCCTGTAATATATACAAATTTTACGGATGAACTCTTTGTCATTTACAATAAAACATGTGTGTGTCAAATCTCCTGTATTAGAATTAATCATGCACACAATATATACCTTGAAGCAACAAATTCAACAATTTGGGGATCATGTTTGAATATCAAGATCGAACGCTTAAATAAATTTGTCGATATCTGTACAGTAAACAAACATACTTTTCATCTTTCTTTAATCGTCAATTAATTATATTTGTTCTTCAAAGGGTTACGTTGTGTCATGTGTGCATGATTAATTACATGAAAGGTTATTTAATGTATTTTTAAAATCACCATGAGCTAATGCACATCATTTTATATGACAAGTTACTTCATAAATTAAATCCAAATACTTTATTTCTCATTCTTGATAAAATGCATTAGCGTTTATGAACGAATTTATGCTTAAGCTCTATTTATTCTTAAACTCGATAATATTCTCTCAAAAAAAAATATTTTCGGAGGACAGAAGCATATTTTAGAACAAAAACAGACAATTCATTGAAAAAGAAATGAGTTAAGAGTTAAGACCATTTAAATCTGTCCAACAATCAACCAACCAGCCACAGAAGTGATGTATAGAGATGTCAAATAGTGGGCGAAGAAGAAAAATGAAACACCCTAAATTGATTGAGAAATGAAAATGCAATGCATTGCTATCTATACCATTGAATTGGCTCACCCCACGTCATTAATTGTTTGACAACCATGCAGCCACGTAAATTGTTTGACACCCACCGAAAAATTGTTTTCACATTTTTGTGTGTGATGAAAAGTATACTTCTATTGAATCAATTT